TTACAAGGGATGGATTGTCCAATTAAAATGTTGACAGCTCAACCATTTGATTGCTGTTGGAACAGCCCCTTGGGGGCCATCTTTTTAACAACAGCGATGACCTTTTGAAGGCTGAAGGCGGTCCATGGGGTAAGCATAACTTAGTTGATGCAGAGTTTCAAGAAGAAACATGCCCATTTCTGGAGCTTCTCTGCTCTGAAATAAATTGGCTAGACCTCATCCCTCACGGCTTTTGTTTGTCATTTCTCTGGAAGGTATGTCTGTATTTTCTCCATACATTTGAATGGGAAGAAATCCTTGCAAATCCCATCAGTATAAAAGCCAGGCCACGAAAATATAGCAGATTGCACCAGAAACCCATTAGCTACCTGAATTTTGGATGCTATGCAACAGCAGCATCTGTTTGATCACCTGCTTTGCCCAGGTGATCGAACAGGTGCACCAGACTAGGGAAGGATGTCGTATGATGGGTCTGAAAAGCAAGTTTGCAAAGAGATGAACAAGATCTTTTCTTTGTGCCCTTTTAAGATCCTTTATCCTGTGCTCCCCCCCACCCCCGAAAATAATATCTTGATTTATTTGCAGGTCATGTTGGGTTAGTTGTTGCAGGGTGGGTTAGAGTTTCTCCCCAGATATATTGTACTGGAATGAAATCAGACCAACCATAAAGCTTCACTGCTTTTCTTAAGCAAAGCTAGCTATGCACACACACGCACACACACACACACACTAGCCTGGCCCCACTCAACCTGGCCTGGCCAAAGGACTGGCTTAGAGAAATCTGATCCAAACAGAAGCAGCTTAGCTCCTTTCTTTGCTTTGCTTAGTTTTATACAAAGCCTTGTTCCTGGAAAATATAAATCTTGTCCTGTAGCTCTGGATTAATTTAGGTACTTGAGAAATTAGTCACTTTCTCTTTGTACTCTGCTGTAGTTTCCAGGACCTGTTACAGTGACCAGGACCTTCAGCTTCTCCCGCTTGCTTCCTCTTGTGGTTTTCTTATCCTGCAGACAGGCTGGCTCTGCTTTCAGCTCAGGGCAGATCGTTCATAAGTTCATAAAGATGGCTCTGCTTTGGCTTGGTGTATAACATTCACTCCTCCCCTTGGCATCAAACGAAACTGGATGTGCCATAAGCAAGGCAAACACCTAACTGAATCAGAGCCTACACTTTCGGCATCAAAAGAAATAGTATTAATACTCAAAGCCTTATACGTTACTCTCCTGGAACATTCGAAAAAGCATTGCATTTATAAAAGCAACCCAATAAGGATTAAAAGGCATAACAGAATCTACATCCCAAAGTGAACTAAGAAAACTTTGAAAGGCCCTAGTGAAGCAAAGGGGTTAAAAGTCTTGGTTGGGTTCATTTATAGGAATAGAATCAATGTCTTTGGTATGGTTTCCATCTGATGGTGGTGATGGTGATCCATCAAGTTGGTGTTTTTCTCCAGGATGATCTATCCAACCTGGTCCTTCAGATCTTCCAACGGTATTGCTGCTGTAACTGAGTCCATTCACCTTGCCACTGGTTGTCCTCTTTTTCCTTCCACTTCTCCCAGCATTATAGACCTCTCCAGCGGACAAGGTCTTTGCATGTATCAAAAATATAATTTGAGCCTAGTCATTTATGTCTGAAATGAGACCTTTGGATTGATTTGTTCTGTGACAAAATTCCACTGGATTTTCCTTATTTTACCTCTTTTCTAGAGAGGTACCTTCATCTGAACACTAGACATTAAGTCTTCAGTCATGTTTTTAAGTTCTTGAAGGACAGCTGCATGATTTTCTCTACTGTATTTTCTGCCCATTTAGTGTGGCTTTAAGAGGTTTATTTTTTATTTGGTCTGTGAGCTGAAAATCTTTATAACCCAATCTGCAATTGGGAATTTGTATCAGCCAAGAGTTTCAATTGCAGAGAGAGCTATAAGTCTGTTGAGCCAAAGACACAGTACTTAATTTTCTTGCAGATGTTTACATAGCACTCATGGGTGAACAAAGATGTTTGGGGAAGGCTAACATACAAGCCATTCTTTACTTAGGTTCTGCAGAAGAATTTCTAGTGTTTAAAGCAGATCTGCTTGCAGTAAAATGCAACCAGAGAGAAAACGCTTGAACATAAGTGAAGAATTCCTTTCATAGTACCTTTTAACTTCAAAGCAACCATAAATGAGTAATGTAAATAGTGATAAACAGGTCACAAAAGTACTCCTTTGGATCCAGGAGGAAATGCCAGGTCACCAAGGAGATCTGACATTTCAAGGAAAAGTAAGGTTCTCAGCACACTCTTATCAAAGTAGGTAGTTCTTGCTTAACAACCACAATTGGGATTGGAATTTAGGTTGCTAAGGCATGTGGTCATTAAGGAAATCATCACATGACTGGTACCGATTTTATGACCTTTTTTGTAGTGGTTGTTAAATAAATCACAGTGGTCGTTAAGTGAATCACATGGTTCCCCATTGATTTTGCTTGCTGGAAACTGGCTGGGAAGGTCAGAAATGGCAATCACATGACCCTGGGATGTTGTAACTGTCATGAGTGTGAGCTGGTTGCCAAGTGCCTGGATCGCGATCACATGACTGTGGGAGCACTGTGATGGTTGTAACTTCGGGTACTGGTTGTAAGTCACTTTTTTAGCACTGTTGTAACTTTGAAAGGTTACTAAATGAATGGTGGTTAATCAAGGACGATCTGTAGTTGAACAAACAAACTTTGTTGTAGTGTATAGCCATTAAAATATAGAAGTCTAGTTATTAAAAATATAGAGATAATTATCATCTTCACCCTTGTGGCTAAGTAACTGCCTATGTAATTGGCTTTAAAACTGTATTGCACATGTATTCAATCTTAAAGGCTCGCAGCCTATATATATACTGGGGTTTTGGCCCTTTAAGGCTTAGGGTCCAGTGACTCACTGTATTAAGAAATATAGCAAAATGATTGATTGGATTCTCTCCTCAAACTCCATCCAAATTCATTGGGTGCTGTTTCTACCACAGTTCATGGTAAGACAAATCCTGCACAGGGCTTTTACAAGAGCTAGCTGTATTGCAGTAAAACCCACAAAGTGTCTTTAAGCACTTCTAAGATTCATCATTTACTAAAGTCAGATGCTGAGAAGTGCTCATGACTGAATGGAATTCACCTGCAGGCACTTGAGCCTCACAGCAGACACCACCCCTTTTCAAAATGGTTAGATAGGTTCGTTGTTGTTCGAGTTAGATGGCTGAATCAATCAACCCCCCATATGAAGTATGATCTGATCTCTTTTGTTTTTCTCCTCCCCTACCAGGAACTGCAACCCTTTGGGTCTCTATTTGTCTGGCAGTAACCCTAGTGGTTGTTTCGCTTTTGACCTTGTGGGTGTTTCCCAGTCACTTCTGTGAACGCTGGTCCCTATAAAAGAGGAAACAGCCGCACAGAGAAAGGGGGTGAGCATGAGCAGTGTTCCTCCTCCTCCTTCAGCAAACCCAAAGAAGTCTCCTAAATTGTGGAAGGTAAGAGTTGCTGCTGAATTTTGTACTGTGCATTTTTATTCTCCATCATGCAATTAGTAGCTGGTATCTGCCAGAAGTGGGATATCTGCCTCGTACCTGTGGCATAAGTGTGCAACTCTTTCTAAGCCAAGAGACCCATGTCTAGTTTATGAATGAAATACTACACCCTCCAAAACAGTGGGGAGTAGGATCAAAATTAGACTTGATTTTATTTCACTGAGATTCAGTTTAAGTTGATGAATTTCATTGGTTATGGACTAAAAATGATAATCCATAATCATTGAATATAAAAAAGATGGATTTTCAAGTTTTGCATCGTTGGTTAAAAATATGTGAAAGGAAAAGCTCCTGATAAATAGAAGGAGGTGGGACAAAGGTTGGGATACAAAGATAGAAAATGGTCAGTCGGTTGGTTCCAACAACAGAGAGGTCAGAAGAGTTTGGAGACCGAGACTGCATAAGGGTGTGTAAAGCAATACAGTTACCACATATATATTTGGGTAAATACATTTGGCAGGAATTCTCTGTAATTCAGGGACATAGCAAGGTTGAAGTGGACGCTGGGGAAGTAGAGATGGGACCCTTGTGGCTTCTTCTTCTCCTTTCCCTGGTACCTTTGCCACTGAAGAACTTCCACAAAGACCTGGACATCTGCAGCAATTGGAGGTTTGATCACAATGAGGAATGGTGGTTGTGACTAGAGATGTAAAATTTTTGGAAATTTTGAAGCCATGAGAAAAAAACGTGTTTTTCCCTGATTTTTTTCCGGAAAAAATAGAAATTTTGGAAAAATTGAAAAAAAATCCAGTGTGGAGTAGTTTTACAAATTGCATGAAATGCAGTGTATATCAAAGTATTATGCTTGCAATAAAACAGGTAACCACCCCCCCTTTCCCTCAAAAGCAAGAAAAAAAGCAAGAAACCATCAACATAAAAAATAATCAGATTTGCCCCCTAGCACCAACAGCCAATAACGTTAAGGTCCACCTCAATATTTAAGCTCCATAGAAGGTCTACCCTTTGAGTGGTGCTTTAAAGAAAAGAAGCAGAAGACACAAGATATACATGCAGTTTTCTTCTGTCTCATTTTCTGAACTGCTGCCGTCATTTTCCGTTTCTTCCTCCACTTCCTCTTTGTCGTTTTTCTCATGGACGTCTAAAAACGGTAGGTGTGCACGGAGTGAAAGAAGCTTTTCTCCCCGTTCGCGGGTCAGTTTGTTTCTTGATTTGGTGTGAATACTAACAGACGTAGACCAGATTCTTTCACGTGCAGCAGAAGAGGCAGAATGTGCAGTCAGCGAGATG